ATGACTCTTTTGTTGTCAAAAGTCACCATAAGGGTTACTTACAACCACAGGATTCTGTAGTGCCTTCTCAAATGCCTTTTGTAGCTACTTTCCAAGACTGTCTTCCTCTGTTACACAAATGTGGTAGTCTCCATTGTTTTATTGTAATATTTTGGGGGTTTTTAATAAGAAAATGCACAATTTTTATAAAGTCATGATTTTATGCAAACTTTTATAGTCACTTAAAAGATTGTGAGTGACAAGTGTAATTTCTTGAACTTTAGGGGTGTATGAGGGCAAGTACAGTGTTTGCTGTCCAACATTTAATGAATTGTAACTTGCCAAATAACAAATCCAATATAAATTGTATTCCATGGCAGTTTGTGATTTCTGAGTTGTGCAGCAGTAAAAGTGGAAAGAAATTCTTCCCTTGTCTTCAGATGACAACAATTTTCAAAGAATGCAATGCAAATTGTTCTAATGTAAATACTGATTTTACTTGGAGAGTGTAAGGCCAGAGCTGGCTTAATTAGCAAACATTTTGTTAACCCTCTGTTACTACAACTCGGGTTTGAAGCACTGGATTCACACAGGAAAACCAATTGCAGTTGTACATGTTTTCATTAAATCTAGATTCATTCCAGTAATTTGTTAATGGAGCTTCTGGATACACTTGGTGAATTCTCAAGTCTGGAGAATGCAATTTTTTTAGATCATTGCCCTTTTCTGTTTCCTAAAATATTGTCTCAGGAGAAAAAAGGTCAGATAAAATCACCTATTTTTAAAAATCATGAAGACTAGAACTAAATGCCTGCCTCATTAATTTTCAGAGTTTTTTGTGGAACTATTAGAATGGAATTAGAAGGCAGAATCATTTTCCAACAGTGAGATTGCAAGAAAAAGAGTTTCTGTGTCATTAAAGACAGCAAGAAGCCGTTGCAGAATCAAACCTAGAATGTGGATCTCTAGATTTTAAATTTTGTGCTTTAAGAATTAGACTCCAGGATAGCTCCAGGACAGCCTGCAGGCCTTATATCTGTCTCCTTCTCATATAGGGAAAAATCCTGCCCTATTGAAAGTGCATATTCTAGAAATATTTCAAATTCCATTAAATGAAGAAAGATTGAGAAGAAAATCCAAAGGAAAGTAATAGCTATTGAATTGTATTACACCTATATCCCAGAGCAACAAATCTTACTATTTTTCCTCATTTGAACCTCATTCATGAGAGTTTCGTTGTTAACTTGATCCAGATGACAGATGAAAGCATAGTTCCCTATTGCCACCTTGCTAAAATATTTTGTAAAAGACAGTTTTAATATTACAGTTTTACAGTTACAGATTGCTGTTAAGCTATTTAGTCTGTTACCAGTCAATCAAAGACTTTCATTTCGCTTTGGTATATCCTTCCTTAAACTCAGCAGACTTTTAGGAGGACAAGAAGTATCTGTCAGTTTTCTTGCAGTGCTAGGTCATAAATTCTTTGGTAAGTGGGTTAAAAATTCAGTTACACATACCATTCATGACCTTGACAGCTTAGCAAATAGTGATATTGAATGATCAAAGACAACTGTTTCAAGCCCTAAGGGTTAATATACCTGTGCAAGTAGATCTAAGCTTCTTTTAATTCCTTGATCATTCCTTTATTTCAAAATGGACAAAGTATTTCTTGAATGTAGTCAGTAAATTAAGAGGAAAAAACATCTGAGGACACTGTTTAGGCTAGAACTAATAAGGCCATACATGGTGTCTAGGAGATAGAGTTAATTAATTGTTGCATTTTACAAGTTCACATTTTTCTTTTCTAGTATAAATCCGAATTAAAACATGCTCCTTCTCAGATGTGGGACTGTTGTTCTCTAGACATTTTTAAAAAGAACTCTTTGCTGACCTGTGGCTATGTAAATGTTTTGAAACTCCATTTTCAGGTTTGCGAGGAGAATGTGAATACAAGTTTGACCTGTGCAGTATAAGCATTTCAGATAAGGTGCAGTGTAACCAGTGATGTACATTAGATATTACACAGTTTGAATGCATGTGTGATCACCACTAATTTTCATTTCTTGTATATTTCAAGGTTCAATTTCTTGATAATCTAGAAATGTCAGTATTGAGTAATGTGCTGTGCTTTCTAAAGAAATGTAAGAAAAGGTCTTGGGTGTCCTTGAATAGGAACTTTTCAGGCATGGTGAAGATGTTGCAGAAAGTGATGGCATTGCCAGGTCACTGTGTGGTATTTCCCCTCTCAGGCAGCACAGAAGCAATCCCTGAATGTGTTGCTGTGGCACCCAGACCATGAGGATTTTCCTCTGATAAACCAGAGTCCCAACACGTACACACCTTTTTGTGTGTATGTAGGTGTAGGGGTGTGAAGCCCTGGGGTCCTGAAAACAAATTCCAATGTGATTAATTAATTCCTTCCTCAAATAAAAATATAGTTGGCATTTCAAACCTGCTAAATACCAAAAGCTGGCAAAGGGAGAAAACAGAAGTGATGTTACAGATTTTTGTTTTTTTGGTTTTTTAAATTTATTTAGAAGGATATGAAAGGGATTATATTGTTCCTCAGGATAGCTTTACTTCTCTTCTTCTCCGGAAATCCTCCTGCTTGTCCTCCTCAAAAATCTTGCTTTTAAAAGTTTGAAATCATAAGGTGTTTGTACTTGTTAAGCCAAAGCTAAGCATACCTGGAGAATACAGTTCAGTGTGGAAGTGTAGGACTAGGACTAGCTAATGCAAGGACAAACAGAACATCAAAATTGTATCTGCTATAAGTTGAAGAGCTAACAAATAAAAACAAAAAACTTTTAAAAGTATTATTTTGCAAGGTAAGTTGCATCATTTTAAGAAATTGATAGTTGAAATTGACAGTTACAAGTCATGATGAACATTAGATGGTTTGATAGTTACTTGAGTGGAAAAGAAATTCTCATTTCATATTTCTTGTGTATTTTGCTCCCAGAACAGGCACACTAAAGGAAGGCTACTAGAGCATTAACATTTCTTTGTGCACATTTTACTGCAATCTGGCATGCAAAAGGAAGAAACATTAGAAGTAGTTTATTTATATTTCAGCACCAAATTAGAAAGATGATGTCATTCATTTACAGTTCTTATCCCATGACACGCCTAATCCCCAACACCTCATTACAGAGGACACTTCTAGGACTGCATATCTCATCTTGTTTAACTTTTGCATTCTTTATGGAATACAGTTGAAAGGTAGGAAATTTAAGGCTGTTCATTGATAAGAAAATAAACTAATAAAATTTTAGGAGCTTCCCCAAAGAGGCAGAGTATGACAGTGTTTATAGTAAGTGGCTTATTATTTGTCTATTAATTCTCCATCTTTTCCACTCTTTTGTTCAAAAGCCCTTCCTCTTTGAATCTAAAGACAGACAGACCAACCATGATGATTGAAATTGAGAGGATCTTTTTATCAAAATCACTAGAAAGTCACAACTGAAATTCATACAGGTGTTTGCTTTCATCTTGGTATTTGGGAGGGAGAAAATAAAATATTTCCAACTGTGCAGATTCTTTTCACTCTATACCATACTGAGAAAATGCTCTTACAGTGCTATGGAGATGCTCAGAAAGTCTGACAGTGCACATCTGACCTGTGCTGTTTCCTCTGTCTTTTTGTTATGGATGCCCTGACGGTTTGGCTGGGTTAGTTGGTTGTTTCTACTTAAACTGAGTACAGCTCCCCTCCTATAAAGCAGTTTTCTCTGATCCTCTATTGAACATCATGTGAAGTGCTTGAGAAACATTGTGACAACTGTAAAAAATTAGTTGCTGAAAAGGTACATCCTAGGATTCTGTGGCTGTTAGACCAGTTACTATGGGAACACATTGAACAAATGAGTTGTGTTCAAATTGATCTGCTTCTTTGGTCCTTTGGAACTCATTAATCTGGGCAAAGTCCTGGGCAATGTGTTTAGCTCCCATCCTCAATGGGGTTACCATGAATCCTGCTGCCTTGGAGCATGACATCAAGTGAGCTAAGACTGCTATCTTTCCTTTAGTCATCTGTGTGGTATTAATTGTGTATGCCTCTAACTGATTCTTTTAATTTTGGCAGAGATCTTTGGGAGTTGATACCATTTTCTTCTTTTCAAAATTAATGAAAACTTGATTGCAGTTGAACAGGTTTGCCTGAGAGAGTCTTCAGTCCTGGTACCACAAAAAAAATAATGATTGTATCCATTGGTGTCAGACTATTGGTAGTAAGATATTTTTGGTGTTATGAGCAAGGTTTGAATTATTCAAGTCTATGTATTTCATGGTATGGAATAATTGTAATAGTGATAAAGAGCAGCAATGTATCTTGTTGTCCCATGGTGACATAGATTTTATTATCTGTACACAGCTGTAGCTGAAGTGTTGATCTCTTTTTCAAGATCTATATCTTAGACTTACTTCCATTCAGTTATGTGTCAAGTTCCATAATCACTTATTTCTCTAAGTGCCTGTGTCTCTTTCACTTAGCTTTCAGATTCATTTTACTTATTGTTTAGCAGGGTGATCCTGGTGTACAATTAAAATAAATCACCCAAAATAGAACTTTTGGAACTATTCGTGATTGTTGCTAACATGCCTTGGTAGCTAACTGTAAATGTTTGAAGTACACTTAATATTCCTTTCAGTGAGATCTAAGAAGTCAATTGCTAAGACGTAATGTTAGACTGGAAAAATAGGAAACAGCTCTAAAATAATATATTTAGAAAAACTGAATGTCTTTTGCCCTTCAAACGCATCATCTGTCGTCATTTACTTTTCTGACTTCTTGATGTCATTCTGTGCATGTGAAAGCTGAAACAGAGGATGTGTTCACATACTTGATTTCTCTATTTCTCTTTCCTTTTCTTTGTGAGCCAGCAGTCTGGATTTCTATTCTTAGATCCTTCAGCTGAACAAAAACTCCCGAAAAACCCCCAGAGCCAAGAGATTTCTAAAACACTGCTGGAATAATACACTCCAACGTGTAATAAAATTGTCTTGCTTTACATCTCAAACAGACACAAAACAGAATGAAGCTGATGGCAGATAACTATGATGATGACCATCACCACTACCACCACCATCACCACCACCACCACCATCGCTCTCCTGGGAGGACACAACACAACCACAGACCCTCTCCAGATCAGGTTGGTCACCTCTTTCTTCACCCTTAGTTTTGTAACTTTGATATTTTCCTATTTCAGAATAAAATAAAATTTCTAAAGATCTAATAAGCAATGATGTGTTCTTTGAACTGAAGCTAATAGCTCTGTTATTTATTTCCGTCCTGAAATAGTTTAAAATTTTGGCTTTTTGTCTGGAGTCTTACTTTTCTGGAGTAGAAAAACAGTCTGTAGCAACAAGTAACTCATTTTCAGATGAAGGGAGCCTGAGGAAAAAATTTAACATTGCTTTTATATGAACAATCATTTTTTGATACTAAAATAGGTTATAAGTTCATAATGTCTGGGTAGAAATAAAAGGGAAAAACAGGGACGAAAATATAATGGGGATGTATGATAGACTACTTAATTGGGAGAAGGAGGCTAAGAGGCATATTACACTTTTTTTACACAGTGACCAGTGTAATTGTGTTAGAGTCAGGAGCAGGTAAGAATGAGAACACGATTTCTTGGATACTAACACAAATTTAAAAACCCCAAACCACAAACGATAAACCTGAACAACATAATACATAATCCTTTGAATTCTTGGAACATGTTAAGAACAACTTTTTCTGTCAGAAAGAGGAGAAGGGAATTAAGGACTTGCTGTCTTGGTTTGGTTCTGTTTCTGATTAACAGAGATAAGTTGGCTGAGTTTATAAAAGGAGGAAAAATTCTATGGAAATATCTGTAAAATAAAAAAAAAGTTTTGGCTTTATGCAAGGAACAGAATGAAAGAGATGTGAAAAAACAGGTAATAACCACCACAGTGTTATTGAAACCCAGACACTGTTTTCAAGTAATTTAAGAAACTTGAACCTGTGAAAGAAATTTGAGGCACAAGACAATGTAAGAGAGTTAACATTTAGTCAAGTGCTTTTCAATACATAGTAGCAGCTTATTCAGGGAAGAGAATGGATAAGAAAGTCATAATGAAAGTCAGTATCAGAACATATTCAAGAACATTGAAATGTTATATGAATAGTGGAAATAGGTGCATGATTAAAGATAGAGCACATAAAATAGTGGCTATTTTACTAGTATTTACTAGCACTTGTACTGTCAGATTTTTTCCTAGGTGATAGTTTTGGGCCATTCTCTAAAAAAGAATGCAGGTCTAGCATACCCATCCTATATTTAGTCTGCTTGAATTTGCCAAGGAAAATTATGTCAAGCAAATCTAATTTCCTTTGATAGGGTAACTGGTTTTGTCGTTAAAGCAGAAAGTGGTAGCTTTTAATTCATCAGGTGTTTAACTCTGTCCCACCAGATATTTGTAATATGCAAATAAAGACATAATTTTGTAATGTAATGAATAACTAATGTAAAATGAATTGCAATAACAAAGGCTTTAATTAAAATATATATTTTTAATTTAAATAATTATGATATTGCCATGAGATGGTGTGCAATCGATAGACAAATTTTCCGTTGCTCATTTTCAGACAGGAGGGCCAGTTACAGCAGGGTTCCAAAGAGGTTTGTCCTTTATCTGATTCTGTGGAGTATTTTTTTAGAGATTATTTCAGTGGTGAAAGAGAAATGCCGTTAATATTATTGATCATGAAGAGAGGTGTAAGAAGCTCCAAGCACAGCAGGAGCAGTCAAACTCCTCAATAAGCTGCTCCAGTCTTGATAAACTGGAGCGAGTCTAGAATAAGAAACTTCAAATTCAGCAAAGACAAGTCTGCTTACAGGGGAGAAATCACATATGCTATTGAGGTAATAGCATGGAAAAAGGAATCTAAATTGCATAGTGGAATAGCATTGCAATGAAGTTGGATCTAATTCTAGGATAGATATAATGCTGAAGAAGAAGCAGGAAGCAATTATTCTGTTCCTTGGAGCACTGGTGAGGGCTCATCTGAAAAGCTGTTTACAGTTTTGATCTCCATGCTTTAGGAAACATAGACAAAGTAGAAAGGGACAAAAGGAGAGCAACAAGAATGATAGAAGTTTTAGAGAACATGACCTGTGGGGAAGGCTTAAAGAACATGGTTTGTTTAGTCTAGAAAGTACCAAAGGGGAGACATAAGTCTTCTAATACATAAAATGTTGTTGTAAAAAAGACGATGATCAATTGTATTCCAGTGCCCAGTGGAGAAAGGCTAGGAGCAGTAAATTTAATTTTGCCAGGAATAACTATGTTAGTTTTTAAAGAGAGGACTTTTTCACTATGAGTCTAATGAATCTGTAAGTGGAAACAAAATGTGGACATTCTTTCATATACATGTAATGGAAGGTCCTTTCTTGGAGGTTTCTAAGAACAAGTTGGATGAATAGAGCTTTATTTCAGCTTGTGTTGGACTCAGAATAGGTGTTCTCCTGAAGCGCTGTCATCCCAAAATTTCCACAAACTCTGTGAACAATGGATTAGCCTAGCATATGTTTACTTGTAAGGGAAGCAAAATCATAGCATTCATAGCAAAATCCTTGCTGAAATAACCTTTGAGAACAGCACAGTCGAGGGTAATCATGAGTGAACTGTAGACATTGCTTTATCTTACATTTTTCAATAATGGATTTTACTTTTTTCTTTACTTTTTGTGGTGTTATTTACCCCTCTTTACAACACTGATTTGTGCAGCAATTTGATTGCTGTGTGCCATAGAAACCTGCATTTCCCATTCAACATTACACACAGCTTCTAAGTATGGGACTATAACCCAACATGTGGTTTAAAAGCACAGAATAAACTGGGAAAACAATAAGCCTGCAAATCATCAGAGGGCATTTTTAGTTTTTTAAGGAGATGAAGAAGTTGTGCATGTTGTAGCATAAGTACTGTTTAATTTGGTGAATGCTGGGGAGGGATTTTGAAGGTTTTTTCCCAACTTCTTGAGAGGCAGAAACAGTTAAACAGTGTTAATTTGAAACATTCTTCATTTCTGAAGATAATACTGGATTTTCTAATCCACATGCCACATTTATATAAAGAAATGCATGCTATTATGTGTCTGTAAAGTATATACATGGGCAGTGGGTACATTTTTGCAACAAAGAATAAGACATTTTTGTTCCCTTTGTAAAGAGAAAGGTGTACCAGAGGTTCTTGGAAGACCTTGGAAGATGCACATCCTGCTTGAAATAGGCATTATATTTATTAGAAGCTTTCCTCTTCAGGTACTGACATTTTTTTAATGATTATGTTTTTGTCATAACTCTTCCCTGATTTCCTATCCTGCCATGGGCAGCATGTGGCAGAATGACTCTGGACTTAGTGAAGAACAGCATCTCTGACTTCTCTTGAAGGAACTAGTTGAGCACTGTTTTTTTAGCTACAATGGATGTGTTTTGGTCTTCTGGCTGCTTCTAGGGAACAAAGACAAATTTCCAGACACTTTTAGCCTTTATTCCCTCTTTTTTTGCTCTCTAGGGAGAGGCATAGTTGGGTGATCTTTTTTTGCCATCCTTGTCTGGACCTAACTCTGGTCAAGTTGTAAGGAAACTTCATAAAGAGTAGAAAGACTCTCTCATCTGCCCATACACATGGTCTTTTTACAGTTGGTCATGATGTGATCTCTGGTTATTTTGGTACATCTGATTTATTTATTTGACATAAGTAACTTTCTGGGGATTGAGTGCTGCCATGTCAGTAACATATATTAACAATGTTTTACTAGTCTTTAAAAAAAAAACAGGAAAAAAAGAGATAATTTTGCAGTTTTGCACAAAAAGTTAAATTTATTCTCTTCAGTTTTGGCTTGAGAGTTGGCAATCTTTCTTAATTTCCACCTGGAAACATTTTGGCAGTCAGAGTGTATCCTGAAATGCGGGTGTAATACTCCTAGCATGAAAATGAGCTGAATAAGCATTTTGCTCTAGCTTCATTTTCCAAGGAGTTGTAGTATGTAGCCCCTTGTAGAGTGTATTACAGTAATCTAATCTGGATTGTTGCATCCAGGAGTTATCTGGAACAAAAAACCCCCCATGGCTAAATAAATTTGAACTTCCAGGTTTAGCAGCTATCTTGCCGCACAGCACAGACTTTCCCCCAGACCCACCTGTCCAGCTCCCTGCCTCTTGTATTTCTGACCTCTACATCCTTTTTCCTTAAAACCTTTTTGTCTTGGCCTCAGTTGCCCACATCAACTTTCAGTTTTCTCCCTTTTATGGAAAACGTTTTAAAGGAAGTTCCTGCTTGTGTCACACCAGTAAGTGTGTGCTCTTGAAGCAAATTGCTGTTGTTGGAAGTTAGGTATCAGCACATTTGTATTCCCTGCCACAGGTGCCTCACTGGACAGCCATCCTTCTGTCATTTGTGTCCTTTCAGTATGGGAACAGGCCTGTGAATTACCAGCCAACAGAGAATTCTGCCCTGCTAGCCACAATTCTGGTCAATTTGTGACCTCTCATTCCCTTTGGTTTTCTCATCTCAGAAGCCTCTCAGTCCCTCCCTGTTTGTTTTCTGTTCTGAGTTTGAGGCTCTAGTCACCCATATTCACTTACTGTTCATTTCCGTGGGCATTTATCACTCCCTGTTCTAGGTCCTTACAGTTCTCAACTTGTATGAGCAATCTCTAACTCCAGGATGGTCTCCACATAATGAATCACAATCTTTGGTTGTCACCCAGGGCTTCTTCAACTTCATGAGAACATTAAGATGTGGTTGAAGGTTCTAAGTTCAAGATTCTTCTTATGGACTACTTAGTAAAAATCGGTAATTGATTATGAAATTAAAAGTGGCATTTCTACAGGAAAAAAGAAGTGTAGGTAATCTGACATGAGTATGTCTCAGATATACTTAAGTTAGTCTGATGGCATTCTTAATAGGAAATCAGGCTATTTGAGAGGTCATAGGGAAGAACTTGATTCTGCATTAACACAGTGTAAGATTGGAGGGAAAATATCTGAAGAATTTTCATACTTTATATTTTATTGCCAGTCTTGATGATTATAACAACTATCAAATCTTCTTACTTCCCATAATACTGGAGATTTTTAAAGAAATAAAATGTACAGTGTTCTTAATCTCCTAAGAGTTTCCTGAATACCTGAGCTGTAGTGGATTCAAAGCTGAATGCTTTACTCTGTGGTCACCAGGGTTACAAATATATTTTAATTTTGTTTTATGAGAGATTATGTGCTAATAGAAAATAATCTGATTTTTAGAAAAATGTGAATATCATAGGGTGTGCTTTAGGAACTGGATGCTTTCCAAAAAGTTGGCCCTATTCTTAGAAGCTATAATTGAGGATGGAATGTCACATGGTGCCTAAGCATGTAAAAAGATGTCCTTTTATATCTTTTAATCCTGTCTGACTACACAGAGATTTTTTTTCCTACTTAAAACGTTTTTGATGGCTCTTCTAAAGGATTTGGTGTTTAGAAGTAATTTGTTACAAACTCACCAACAAGTTTTCTGTTCTCCTCTGAGATCTCAGCAAGGAGACCTAAAAGGCAGTCCAAGGTTTCTGAACTATCCTCCTATCTAAAGGCAAAGTCCTCCTTATCAGGACAGAGATGGTGCAGGGTGCATCTACCTGGAGCTTCCCTTCCTCCAGTCACAAAGCCAGTTGTTCCAGAATGAGCCTGTAGCTGTCTTAATATTAAATGTGCCTCATTTTAAACAGGCTTTTTAAAAGTATGCTGGTAAACTCCAGCATTTGAGAAAAGAAATCACGTGCAGTGATGTG